TCTATATATATATAGAGAGAGAAAATATATATATATATTTTTTTTATATATTTGCCTTTACAATGATATTTTTCCTTTGATAATTTTCATGTTTCTAGTTGTGGCCATTTCTTTAGAGAAGTCCCTTTAACATTTCTTGTAAAGCTGGTTTGGTGGTGCTGAACACTTTTAGCATTTGCTTCTCTGTAAAACTTTTGATCTTTCCATCAAATATGAATGAAGTCCTTGCTGGGCAGAGTATTCTTGGTTGTAGGTTTTCCCCTTTCATCATTTTAACTATATCATGCCATTCTCTTCTTGTCTGCAGAATTTCTGCTGAAAAGTCAGATGTTAACATTATGGGAGTTCCCTGTATGTAACTTGTTGCTTTTCCCTTACTGCTTTTAATATTCTCTCTTTATCTTTAATTTTTGCCATTTTAGTTACAGTGTGTCTTGGTTTGGTCCTCTTTGGGTTGATTCTTTTTGGGACTCTCTATGCTACCTGGACCTGGATGTCTGTTTCCTTTTCCAGGTTAGGGAAGTTTTCAACTATGATATCTTCACATATGTTCTATGCCCCTTTCTCTCTCTCTTCTCCTTCTGGGACCCCTATAATGAGAACGTTAGTATGCTTGATGTTGTTCAAGAGGTCTCTTAAATTGTCCTCATTTCTTCTTATTCTCTTTTCTTTTCCTGTTCAGCTTCAGTGATTTCCACTACTCTGTCTTCCAGCTCACTGATCCATTCCTCTGTATCATTTAATCTAATGTTTCTTCCTTCTAGTGTATTTTTCATATCAGTTATTGTATTCTTCATCTCTGCTTGGTTCTTATTTATATTTTCTAACTCATTAAAACCTTCTAACTTCTCACTCTGTTCATCCAATCTTTTCCCAAGTTCTTTAAACATATTTACCATCATTACCTTGAATTCTCTATGGGGTAGATTGCATATCTCCACTTCTTCTTCTAGGGTTTTATCTTGTTCCTTCTATCATTTTGCTTTTTGTTTTCTACATAACTTAAAGAAAACAAAGATGTAGCTCTTTTATTCCTAACTTCCTGCATTACTGTATTCTTTTGTGTTTGGTCTATTTTTTGTAGTGAAACATCTAAATTCTTTTCTCATTTTCTGTTGTATATATTTTATAGCTGTTTCTTTGTGGTTACCATGGGATTACATTTAACATACTAAAGTCATTACATTCTAATTTGAATTTATCCAGCTTAACCAATAACATACAAAAACTCTGCTGTTTTACAACTCCGTCCCCAACCCTGGTGTTTGATATCATAAAATTATATCTTTTACATTGTGTGACTAAAAATATAAACTAATAATTCTTTAAAGTGCATTAGTATCTTAAGATATGTAGGATACAAAATGCAGAGTTACAAACGAAAGTTACAATCGTACTAGTTTTAGACTAATAATTTTAAAAAGTAATGTAGAAATCAAAAAGTGGAGTTAGAAACTGGTGTTACAATAATACTAGATTTTATAATTTCCCATGTATTTACCTTTATTGAGATCTTTACCCCTTCATGTGTCTTCAAGTTACTGTGTAGTTTCCCTTTATTTCAGGACTGCAGGACTCCCTTGAGCATTTCACACAGGACAGCTCTAGTGGTAACAAACTGCCACAGCTTTTATTTATGTAGGAATGTCTTAATTTCTTGGCTCCAAGTTTTGCCAAATAGAGGATTCTTGGTTGATGGTGTGGGTGTTTGTTTTGTTGTTGGTGGTGGTTTGTTTTAGCATTTTAATGTATTGGCCCACTGCCTCCTGGCCCTCAAAGTTTCTAATGAGAAATAGACTGATGATATTAATGTTGATCCCTTGCATGTGATAAGTTGCTACTCTCTTGCTACTTTCAAAACTCTCTCTTTTGTCTTTGTCTTTCAAAATTTGATTATATTGTGTCTTGTAGTAGGTCTCCTTGCAGTCATCTTACTTGGAGTTTGTTGAACTTCTGAGATATTTATAATTATGCCTTTCATCAAATTAGGAAAGATTTCAGCCACGTTTCTTCAAATATTCTCGCTTCCCCTTTCTCTCTCTCCTTTTCTGGGAGTCCTGTAATGTGTGTTAGTCTTCTACATGGTATCTAGCAGTTCTCTTTGGCTCTGTTTTTTCTTTCTTTCTCTTTTTTGTTTTATTTTGTTGTTGTTGAACACTGGACATTTAAATCTAATAATGTGGTAATTCTGGAAATCAGACTCTCCCCTTTTTCCAGGGCTTGCTATTTTTGCTTATTTTATTTTCATTTTGTAGGCTAACTCTGTGGGAAGGATCTCCTGAGGTTTAAACTTTCAGTCTTCTCAGGTGTTTTCTGGGCCTGCACCTTTCCCTCATCACTTTCTAATTTTTCTCATATTTGCAAGTTGCTTTTCACTGTCCTAGTCCTTGATTTCTAGCTCCCAAAGTGGGAAAATGAGAAAACTGAAGGGAGGAAAAAAAGGGTTCTAGCCCTTTAAATCCTCCCAGAAGTCACATCAGCCAGAGTGGGAGGGGCTCAACAATGAGGGGAGGTGCAAGAACAATGCACCTCACAGCCCTCAGTTGTCTGCTCCTCTCTAATCAAGAACAGAAATCAAAGAACAGATCCCTGTTGTTTCGAGGACAGGGTTCTTTTTGCCCTGGTTGGCACAAGCTATACATAGCTTGCTCCAGGAACACATGCACAGTGGTCTGTCACAGGGCTGGAGGTGGGGAGGACTGGTAGGTGCTACTGTGCTAAGGGCTGAAATTGACTAACATTAACCACAATTTACTGCCCAAGTCTTCTTATGGAATTTGACTGCAGTAGACTACAGAGTTCCAAAATACTTACACTAGATAGATTCTGCTGAAATTGTTGTCTATGTGAGGAGAGAAAATCCTGGTGCTTCCTACTCTATCTACACCTACATAAGCTCTTTTTAAAAACGGCATCATTAATTCATATTTTCTACTTGAAAAATTATTTTCCTTTACTCCCTGACTCAACATTTGTTCCACCACCTTCTTGGCACCCTCACCTTCTCTCCTTTTCCCCATTTTGTCTACCATGTTTTACATACTATTTAATTTAGTATTTTTTTTTCATTTTTCCTGCCTGTCGTTCTCAAATGGAATGTACGTATCATGAGGGCAGGTTTCTTTGTGTCTCTTCTTTCCTTTGTCTCCCATACACTGATGATAGTGCCCAAAAATCCATTATTTGCTCACTGAACATAGGTTAGAGCAGTGAATAAACATGACAACAACCCCCCTTCCTGTTCATTTTCACCGTTCTGGAAAATCCTTCCAAATGTCCTCTTTACCACTTTCTTCTAGTGGGTTTTGCCTCAGTGTGTTAAGAATAAAAAAGGCACACGTTTAAAAGAGAAATCCTCAAGTGTGGTAAAACTTGTAGGATAGCACAGGCTATTACTTCTCATACTATTACTCCTCAGACTTCAGTTTCTTATGCTCAAAGTTCCTTAAGATAGTAACTTTTTCCACTTCTCACAGTGTGCTTTCCCAGGGGTATTTCTGCCACTATCTTTGAATGAATTCTTAATTATTATTAATGACTTTCAGGAATTTAAATAATTTACAAGTGTGTTTCAGTGATACTCTCTGCATGCAGTTACTACTGTTTGTGAAATTACAGGTGAAGCGATAATCACTTCTTAGTAAGGAATTGAGACCCTGAAGTCACAAATATTTGTCTCAGGTTTCAGAGGCCCCTTTGGCACACTTGCAGGGGTTGTGACAGCTTCTTTCCTGGCAGGAAATGACATTGTGTAAGTGGCTTTCCTTTCCAGATTCCTAAAAGAAATTGAATGTGTTTTAGGATGTGGATTAGGAAACAGTATCTGGATAAAATAATGTTGCTTGCTGGGTTGGACACATCACTGATTATACCAACAGGACAGACGTTTTCTGAGGCAACCAGAGGCAGAGTGCCACCCATGTTCACCAGCTTCAGAGCCTCTGAAAGTCCTCCCCTCCCCTCCATCTTTGCATCCCTGCTGGAGACTTTTCTCACTTATCCCTAACAAAACATACTGAAATTTACAAAACTGCCAAATAAAAATTGTCACTAGCCATCTGCCTCTACAAGGATTAGATTACTAGCCACTGCAGTTGCTGACTTTCAACACACCTTGAGAGGAGTTCAGAGCAGAGATCAGGAATAAGGCACTCTGTGCTCTAGGAAAAACTGGCAGAACAGGCCTTTAGATAGTTAGATATTTTCAGGAGAAGGTTTTATCAGCCCAATTTCTTACATCTTCTCATATCTAGAAAAGCACTAAAATCATTAATGGAGACATCTGCTCCTCAGGACTAGTGGCAACATTCTGCAAAAATGTATGCTTGGTTGCATGTATCTCTCTTCACCAAAACCACATATATACTGACACACACACACACACACACACACACACACACACGCACGCACGCACACACCTCTTTGGAGCAGTTCCTCAGAGCTATCTGAGCTGCTGTGTCCCAGGCTAAAGTCCTCATTTTGCCCCGAATAAAACTTAACTCACAACTCACTGTTGTGCATTTTTTTTGGTCCACAGGACCAACCCTAAGGCTTCAATCTCCATGTATTTGAAGAGTAGCTAGATATCATATGTTTCCTCTTAGATACAGACACACACTTTCTGAGTCATAGTTTGGTGTGGTGTATCCAATTAGGTTTGTAACCTTTGGAGCATCTGAAATCTTTAAAGTTATCTGTGACAGGTGGCGGATAAATCTGTGTACTTCCCCTTTAAGAAGGTGCGAGGCCCGGCCCTTTCCTAAGAGCCTCAGGCCATCATTTCCTAGCACCCCGCCTAGGGTTCCCTGAAGGCTTTCCGGTTCTTGGCCAGGCTGCCTGCAGGAGAGAAACTACACTACCCAGAAGTCTGTGCTGGGAGGAAGCAGTAAGAATTGGGCCAATAGGGACGGTAAAACGGGCGTTTCCTGTGTTGTTGGCTTGGACTTCCGGCGTCCTGGGGGCGTTAGTTCTTTCGAAACGTGTTTCTTTTCTGTTCACAGGCTTCCCTTGCCCGCGACCTTTCAGAACTTCCGAGAGAATCACCATAAAGAGGTAGGAACCACCTCTGCGCCTTGTAAGACCTTGTGGGGGGGTTAGAGGGAGCCCACAGGACCCGTTTTGGTTGCCGCCCCTCTTGGTCCCGCTCACACAGGGAATTAGAGGCCATGGTGTAGGCCCACGGTGAGGACCAGCTGATTAGTATTATGCTCAACTGCTGATTAGTATGATCACTGTCATCTGTTCCCTCCCCTTCATTGCCAGAATGCTTGCATGTCTCTTAGGCCACACGGCCTTGGCATCGTTTTATGTCTTTTGTGAGTGATTTCAGCATAGAAGACCTTTGGCTGTAATACAGTCACATTCTGCCCAAAGGCAGTGTCTGCCTCGCCTTGGAGTCTGACACAGAGCTGGGCTCCCAGGAAGTGCTGAGTGTTATTGACTTTGGGGCCCTCTGGTCCTTTACCAACGACTGAACGTTGAGCTCTCATCACATCTGTCTGTACCAGGGCCAACAAAGCTACCTCTGTTTGACTTTCCAGGCATCCGTGACCTTCAAGGACGTGGCAGTGACCTTTACCTAGGACGAGTGGGGGCAGCTGGATGCTGCCCAGAGGAGCCTGTACTGGGAGGTGATGCTGGAGACCTGTGGGTAAGGCCTCACTGCTCTTTCTGTGGGGACCTACAACCTCTTTCATGCTGCCCTTTTCAGGAGGCTTCTGAGGACACTCTCCCTCCTCCCCACGGCCCTGACATGTATTGGTTTATCTTCAGGCTCCTGTGTCTGCCACAAGGAATTTGGAGCAAGAAACCTAGTTCCCCTCAACAGCTCAGATGGCAGAGGAGAAGGATTTGTTGGAGGAAATATGGGTGTCTTATAATATTGAGGGGTAGGAGGTCCAGTCAGGCACCATGAGAGACTAAAGTCAGGAAATGGAAGAAATACTGATTAGATACTGGCCTTGGTGTCTTCTGATCTATTTGTGGGTCTCCTTGTGCCATTCTCAGCAGATTGGCTTTTTCTGCTGCAGGGAGCTGATAGCCAGAAATGGTCACCCCTACCCTTGATCTAAGAAACCCCTCAATTCCTTGTCTCTACTTCTTGCTGTACTTTTTTTTTTCCTCATATATCTGTCTTTCTCTACGTCTGGCTGTCTCTGCATGGGTGTTCTAGTGGCAGGAAACAGCCACCCGAGCCCACACTTCTTTTTACCTCTTACTCCAGTGCTCAGCACAGGCTGGCCCTAATTTGTTCCTTCTCCAGATTCCTACAGGATGGAGACTGAGTGGCCAAGCTTGATTGGTTTATAGCCCAGTCAGCAGAACCCCTGGGTAATGGCATGTTGTTCAGCAAGTGAGTGAAGCAGACAGGACATCAGGAGGCATCTGTGTGAGTCCTACTGGCAGTCATTCTGAAAAACAGAATCTCCTTTAAAAGGCTTTTTTTGCCCCTGATGCCTACATGCTCATCCCTCGTGTACTTAAGTCTGGGCCATGATCGTCTCTTGGTATGGGAGATCATTTTAGAGGGTGCACAAACATGGCAAGTGGCAATGATGGACAATCAGAGAAGGCCATTCCTTTTTCTCTTGTTTTTCCTGTTGCTGTTTCATGCTGTCTTTTACTGCCCCTTTGACTGCTGGCAATTTCTCTCTTCAACAGAAGGGACAGCCTCAGACTCAGAGCCCTGAGCAGGCAGCATGACTTCATTGAGACTTGATAGTTCTGTTTTGATTTTCTTGCAGTAACTTTGCATTTGTGGCAAATGAAACTGGTTTTTCCATTTCTTATATGGACACAAGATTCCCTATATGAAGACATGTATTAAAGTTAAATAAAAAGTGGGTCAGTGTCAAGGAAGGCAGTTGTTAGCAATGGTCATAATTAATGTTCCATGAACACTAGTGCATCTGGGTCCCATGACTGCATCTGGACAGTTTTGGGGGGTCCTCCAGGACTAGGGAGATGGATCACCCTAGACAGCTAGCACTACCCTACTCAGCCTTTAGGGCCTAATGATAACGTTCTTGGCTTTGGTTCCCAGGTCACAGATCAGTATGGACAAGAGCAGCCTCATTCCGAGGTCTCCTCTCCATCTCAAAGTCCCAGACAGGACTGAAACATTTCTTTTTGTCTTTGCTAAAATATGAATATCTTATTTCTTTCTCCACAAACAGGATATCCGGTTCCCAAACCAGATCTAATCCACCCACTGAAGCACAGGCAGGAGCTGTGGGTGGTGAAGAGAAGCCTCTCCCAAAGTGCCTGTCCAGGTGGGTGACCAAGTGTTGGGCAGGAGGGGTCATGGCAACCTCAACTGAGGGGACCACTGCCTCTGGAATTCCGTGGGAAGCTTCTTCTTGTGGCCTCCTTGGGTGCCTGGGTCAGGGTAGAGCTCTCCGTCTTGAAGTCCCTTTGTCCTCCCACCTCAACAGATTCTTTTCTGCCACAGGGTAAAGAACCTGTTTTATGTATAAGGGCAAGGCTCTGGGCTCCAACTGCTTGGTATTAAAACCTGCCTTTGCCGGTCACCAGCCCAGTGGCAATAGGGAAGTTGCATGATTTTGTCGGGCCTCCTTTAGTTAATTTAGGCTGTTAATGTTCACTGCAGTAACAGATAATCTCCAAAAGCTGAGTGGCTCAACACACGAAGGATTTTTCTGACTCATGGCAGGGCTCGTGTGGGTCAGCGTGTGAGATTGTATCACACGGTTATTCAGAGACCCAGGTGTCGCCTGTCTGGCTTTATGGTTACCTTGGCATCATTCTACTGGCAGAGGGGAAATGAGAGGAAGTATGGAAGTCACACCTACATTATTTCCCCTCACACTCTTGACAAGAACTCGGCAGTTGGCCATCCCTTTTTTCTTTTTCTATTTATTTTATTGAAGTATAGTTGATTTACAATGTTGTGTTAGTTTCTGGTGTACAGAAAAGCAATTCAGTCATACATATATATAATAGATTACGTCTACTAATCCCAAATTCCCAATCCATCCCTCCCCCACCCTGCCCTCCCCCTTGGCAGCCACAAGCTTGTTCTCTATGTCTGTGAGTCTGTATCCCTCTTTCGATGCAGCTGGGAACTGAGGTTTAGCTCTGTGTCCAAGGAGAAGAGCAGATGGGTTTCTGGGTTTTGTTTACATCAAACCAGTCTGCTGCACTCAGCCTACTCCTGAAAAATGAAAGTGATAATAATTTCTAACTCATTGGGCTGTTTGAAGATGTAATCATTTGATGCATGAAATTAGTTAGCACCATGCCTGAGTTATAGTTACAAGCTCAAAAAAAGCTGTTAGGATCTTTCATGTAATAATAACAATCACAATGCATAATCCCTCACATGTCCTCCTAGACTCAGAATAAGAGAGTTTATGTTACCATCTCTGCCTGTAGGCTGCATCCCACCCTTTTCCACCTGTTCATCTATCCTTCTGTTTGTCAGACAGAAGCAATCCCTAGCTGCATTGTCTTCCTGGCCCTCCTTTACCGTAGAGCCTCAAGATGGTATTTGGCTTTGTTTGGCCCACATCTGGGCTGCTGAGAACAGTTGGAGTCACAAAGTGTGTTGATTGGTGCCACTGCAGTCACGGTCTTGCCCCTCTCCTGCTTCCTTGCACTCCCCAGCCAGTTCATGTGTGTCTCTAGCCCCCTTCACAGCCCGATGGAGTCTCTTCCAAATACTCACCTTTCAATTACATTCCACATGTTGCATCAAATTCTTCATACCTTAGAAGGAAATCATGATCTTGCCCACTCCTCCATCCTCCACAGTATCAGTGGATGGCCTTGTCATTCAGACAGTTGAGAAGGTGGGAAACGACCTTGTACAAACTCATGACACTCTGCCTCCATCTAACCCAACATTCAGCCATTATCATCCTGCTTATTTTATGTTTTTCATATTGGGCAACTCCATCACCTCCACCACCTCTGTGAGCTGCACCACGAACATCCTGCTCTAAGCTCTCATCATCTTTTGCCAAGACGATGCCAAGACACTCCTAACTGGTTGGCTCACATTTGCTCTGTGTTTCTTCTGATCAGCTCTCTCCTGCACCAGCTCTGCCATCCATACAAGCGTTGATCCAAACATTCACCACTCCCTGAGCCACTGATGTCTCAGCATACAGCCTACTTCATGGCCTCCTTTCTTGCTGCTCAACCTTACAGAGCATCTCTTATCTGTCTCATACCTGTAGCTTCACTTCCCAACTTTGGAAGAGGTCTCACCCCCTGCCGTAGCTACTTCCTGCACCAGAGACTAAATCACACCTTCTCCTGCAACTTTGGAGGCTTCTCATGCTTCCTCCTAGAAAGGTAACCGGTATTTAGACTCTGTCACCATAGATTAGCTTTGACTGTCTTGACTTGATGTAAATGGAGTCCCAGTTTATTCTGTCACGTCTGTCTTCTTTTGATCTTCGTTATGCCTGTGAGAGTCATTCTTGTGGTTCTATGTAGTTCAACTCTGTTCTCAGTGCTCAGCAGTATCTCATTGTAAGGATGTCCATTCTCCCGTGATTGCCGTTTTAATTTTTTCCTATTTCTTGTATTATGAACATTCTTGTTCATGTTATTTTTGGAGCTATATACTATGTATACATAATATAGTACTCATTTTTGCGGGGAATATACAGAGAGAGGAATGACTGGGTCTTAGGCTATGTATACGTTTAGCTTGAACAGAAACTGCCAGACAGTTTCACAGAGTGGCTGCACCCTTTCACGCTCCCACGAGCCATGTGTGAGAGTGCCCATTGCTACATTCCCATCAGCACTTGGTGTCTTCCCCTTTCCTTTCTGAGGCCCAGTGGTGAGGTGGCTCAGAACCACAGCACTGAAACCATTCTTGATGAGGTCATAGCTTTTATTCTAATTGTCAAATGCAACAACAGCACTAACGATAGTGAATAATGGCCCACAATATACTGAACATTCAACCTGTGCCAGGCACTATGCTAAGTACTTTACAGGTGTGGTCTTGTTAACCCTCATGGCAGCTGGTGAATTAGGAACTGGGCATCTCCCAGTGTTTCAGGTTAGGAAATGGTGATTTACAGGTGGTTAATAACTGTCAAGATGACTGCTTGGTAGAGGCAGGGTTTGAACTGAAGTGACATTCTTCACCACCACGGTGTACTGGTTTTCGATGCAGCAGAAACCTGTTCCACTTTTCTGCACCTCAGCTTTGGTAGCACTTGGTTCCAGTGGTCCCTCTTTTCCAATTCTGACTGGATTGTTCTCTCCCTCTTACTCTAATCGCCTCCTCAGTATTGGCTTTGCCTGACATCTCATGGCCCTTTCTTTTTATTGTAATTAGTCTCCCAGAATGATCCGCCTCTACTCTTAGTTCTTCAGCTCATGCATGTTGTGTCCCATATCCATGCCGCAATATAGGCAGGATAGTTAACAGGTATTCATTGCTTTTTGGTGCTTGTAAACACTGTATATACACTGTTTCAATTCATCCTCACAGTGATTTTTTGAGACTCTACTTGTACTCTGATTTGTAGGTGAGGAAGCAGAAGCTTGTGGAAGTTGAACGCTTGCTGAAGGTCAGAAAACTAGCAAGGGGGTGTTGCTGGGATTTGAGCCTGGGCTGATTCTCCCCAGGTACATGATGTCAAACACAATACTCTGTTGGCTTCTAACATTTATATTTGACTACAGTTGTATACGTTTATATTAATCATAAACTTTGGTTTATGACACACTCATCATCTGGCAATGTACTATCATGTTTAATTTATTTTTAAACTTTTCCCAGTCATTTATTTATTTCTCCTAAAAAGATTATAGTGGGAACTTCCCTGGTGGTCCAGTGGTTAAGACTCCATGCTTCCAATGCAAGTGATGTGGGTTCAATCCCTGGTCAGGGAACTAAGATCCACATGCCACGCAGCACGGCCAAAAGATTAAAAAAAAAAAAATTATAGTGAACGCCATCAGCCAATGCAAGAACAGGAGTATTACCAACCAATATCCTACCTTGATCTATATATTTCTCCCTTTCCCATCCTCTCCCTTCCTGACAAAGATAATCACTGTCTTGAACTTGCCTTCATAAGTTCACTACTTTATATGTGGGAGTGTTTTATATTATAAATAGAATTTCTTTTGTAGATGTGGTGGCTTTCAGATTTTCTGTTTCTTGTGCTGGATTTGTTATTTTGCATCTTTCAAGCAGTTTGTCTATTTCATCTAGTTGTCAATTCATTGGTTTAATTAAAATCGTATCATACCTGTTTGTAAGCATACTTAAACAGCATATTATATGGTTTTCTGTTTTTTAATTTCTGATAAATGGTTATCATACTTGATTGCTATGGCTTGAATGTGTACCCCTCACATTCATTTGTTGAAATCTTCATCTCCAAAGATGATGGTATTAGGAGTTGGGGCCGTTGGGAGGTGCAGAAGTCATGAGCGTTCAGTGTCTTATCCAACAGGCTCCAGAGAGATCCCTCATCCCTTCCACCATTTGGGGACACAGCAAGAAGGCACTGGCTATGAACCAGAAAGAATGCCCTCACCAAAATGTGACCATGCTGGCGCCTTGATCCTGGACTCCCCAGCCTCCAGAACTGTGAGAAACAAATTTCTGTTGTTTGTAAGCTACCCAGGCTTTGGTATGTTACAGCAGCCCAAATGGACCAAGACATTGATGTAGTTTTCTGATACATGCTTTTAAAGAATTCAGTGTTAAATTACTAAGAATCACTGTGTGTGAGCTGTAGTGTTTTTTTTTCCTTCTTCTCAAAATACTGTTACGTCAATATATCACAATGTATTTATCGATTTTTGTGGACATGCACCTATTTCCATAATTATATCCAAAAATTCTCACTATACTACCTTGTTCAATGAAAGATACTTGTTTCCTTTTTCTTTCTTTTTTTATTTGGTGGTTATCCACCTTGCTGCACACACGTGCAGGAGTTTTAGTTGTAATTCTTCTTATGAGTAGAATGACTGATGGAAAACAACTTTACAAGATGTTGCCCAGTGTTTTCTAAAGTGACGTTATCAATTTGTTAACTTCACCAGCAATGAATGTGAGATTTCATACACCACATCCTGTCCCACATATGATATTTTTGGGCTCTATAATTTCTTCCAGTTGAATAGGTTGCTAACTGGTTTCTTACTCTGGTCTTCACTGGCATTTACCTCATTACCACTGAGGTTGAACTCCTCATTAAAAGTTTTTTGGCCAGTGTGTATGTTCTTGTGGAATAGAATAGAGAGCCCAGAAGTAGCCACTTTTTAATTGAAGTATAGATGATTTACAATATTATATTAGTTTCATGTGTACAACATAGTGATTCCATATTTTTATAAATTATACTTCATTTAAAGTACTTACAAAACAATGGCTCTATTTCCCTGTGCTGTACAGTATATCCTTGTTGCTTATCTATTTCATACATAGTAGTTTATACCTCTTAATCCCATACAGCTATCTTGCCCCTCTTCCTTTACCTCTCCCTACTGGTAACCACTAGTTTGTTCTCTATGAGTCTTGTTCCTGTTTTATATATATTGGGTTGGCCAACAAGTGCCTTTAGTTTTTAAGTAAAAATAAAAGACACATTTTTCATTTTCACCAAGAACTTTATTTATTTTTTTAAAAGGATTTTTTTTAATGTTTTTATATTTTATTTTATTTATTTTTGGGGGCATTGGGTCTTCGCTGCTGCACGTGGGCTTTCATCTAGTTGCAGTGAGTGGGGGCTACTCTTCATTGTGGTGCGCAGGCTTCTCATTGCAGTGGCTTCTCTTGTTGTGGAGCACAGGCTCTAGGTGTGTGGGCTTCAGTAGTTTTGGCACGCAGGCTCAGTATTTGTGGCTTGAGGGCTCTAGAGTGCAGGCTCAGTATTTGTGGCACACAGGCTCAGTTGCTTCACGGCATGTGGGATCTTCCCAGACCAGGGCCTGAACCCATATCCCCTGCACTGGCAAGCAGATTAACCTCTGTACCACCAGGGAAGTCCCACTACTTTTGTGTTTTGTCTTTAACCTCCATAGTTTGTGTGTAGATGATTTCCTACCTATACTTATGTTCGCCTTTACTGGTGAGCTTTCCCATTTCATAATTTTCTTGTTTCTAGTTGTGGCCTTTTCTTTTCTGCCTACAGAAGATCCTTTAGCATTTGTTGTAAAGCTGGTTCGGTGGTGCTGAATTCTTTTAGCTTTTGCTTGTCTATAAAGCTTTTGATTTCTCCATAAAATCTGAACTAGAGTCTCGCTGGGTAGAGTATTCTTGGTTGTAGGTTTCCCCCTTTCATCACTTTAAATGTATCATGCCATTCCCTTCTGGCCTGCAGAGTTTCTACTGAAAGTCAGCTGATAGCATTATGGGAATTCCCTTGTATGCTATTTGTTGCTTTTAATATTTTCTTTCTTACCATGTGTCTTGGCATGTTCCTCCTTGGATTAATCCCATATGGGACTCTGCACTTCCTGTGAACTTGGAGTGACTGTTACCTTTCCCGTGTTAAGGAAGTTTTCAGCTATTATCTCTTCAAGTATTTTCTTGGCCCTTTCTCTCTTCTCCTTCTGGGACCCTATAATGTGAATGTTAGTGTGTTTGATGTTGTCGCAGATATCTCTAAACTGTCCTCATTTCTTTTCTTTCTTCTTTGTTCTGTGGCAGCGATTTCCACCACTCTCTTCCAGTTCACTGACCCATTCTTCTGCCTCATTTATTCTGCTGTTGATCCCTTTATAGTGTATTTTTCATTTCAGTTATTGTATTCTTCAACTCTGTTCGGTTGTTCTTTATATTTTCTAACTCTTTGCCAAAAACTTCTTGTAACTTAAACTTCTCTGCATCCTTTCTTTTCCCATATTCTTGGGTCATCTTTACGATCATTACTCTTAACTCTTCTTGGGTAGATTGCCCATCTCCACTTCATTTAGTTGTTCTTGTGGGTTTATTTCTTGTTGCTTCATCTGGAACATATTCCTTTGCTGTCTCATTTTGTCTGAATTTCTATTTGCATTTTTATGTGTGTTAGGTTCATTATGTTTTTCAACCTTGGAGAAGTGGCCCTCTGTAGGGGATGGACTATTTGTCCCAGCAGTACACTCCCCTCTCATCACCCAAGGGGCAGAGGACAGCTGGTCCTACAGTAGTTTCTGACCTGTGTTTGAGGACTTAGTTACACAAGCTTAGGGATCATAGTTCTCTTGCTTATGGACTGCCCCCTGGTGAGTGAGGCTGGTCAAGAGGCTTGTGCAGGCTTTCTGGTGGGAGGGGCTGATGCCTACCCACTGGAGGGTAGAGCTGGGTTTTGGCTTTCTGGTGAACAGGGCCATGTCAAGGGATGTCTCTAGAGGTGGCTGTGGACTGAGGAAGTCTTTAGGCAGCCTATCTGCCGATGGGTGGGGCTGTTTGGTCTAAAGCATCGCAGCATGGGAGCCTACAGGCTTTTGGGTAGGGTTAGGTCTTGGTGCTAATGACCCCAGAAAGACTTCTGCCTTCAGTGACAAGTTAATGTAGATGAATACTCACCAATATCTCCGCCTCCAGTGTGTACGTCCCCAGGGTGAGATACAGCTGCCCCCTGCCTCCCCAGGAGACACCCTCCAAGACCAGCATGTAGGTCTGGTCTACACTCCTATGAAGTCACTGCTTTTGCCCTAGGTCCCAGTGTACATGAGACTGTGTGTGCACTCCAAGAGTGGAGTTTCTGTTTTCCCCAGTCCTGTGGAGCTCCTGCATTCAAGCCCTGCTGGCCTTCAAAAGTCAAATGCTCTGGGGCTCCTCCTCCTGATGCTGGACCCTCACGCTGGGGAGCCTGACATGGGGCTAAGAACTCTCCTGTGGCAGAACTTCTGTGATATAATTATCCTCCAGTATTCTCCAGTTTGTGTGTCACCCACCTGGGAGGTATGGGATTTGATTATATTGTGAGTGTGCCCCTCCTACCATCTCGCTCTGGTTTCCTCTTTATGTCTTTGGCTGTAGAATTTTTTTTTGGTAGGTTCCAGTCATCTTTATTGATGGTTGTTCAGCAGTTAGTTGTGATTTTGGTGTGCTCATGAGAAGAGTTGAACACAAGGTCCTTCTCCACCATCTTGTTTCCTCTCACTGTCACTAGTTGTTTACTTTCCTGTTTTTGCCACATATTGTGCCTTTTTTCTATATTCAGTTCTGGAGTTAGGAAAGTCCAAGATCAAGATTCCTATGGGGTTCAGTTTCCTGGCTTGCAGAGAGCCACCTTCTCACTATGTCCTCAAATGGAGAGAGAAGTCATCGTGTTCATAAGTGAGGACACACAATATGTTAAATATGTAACTTCTTCAGAATAAAAAGAAAAAATAATTTATACAAAAAAGAAAAAAAACATTCCAACAAATGAAAGTCCAGGACCAGATGGCTTCATAGGTGAATTCAATCAAACATTTAGAGAGAGAAGACCTAACACCCATCCTTCTCAAACTCTTCCAAAAAATTGCAGAGGATGGAACACTCCCAAACTCATTCTACAAGGCCACCATCTCCCTGATACCAAAACCAGACAAAGATACTACAGAAAAAGAAAATTACAGACTGATATCACTGATGAACCTAGATGCAAAAATCCTCAACAAAATACTAGCAAACAGAATCCAACAGCACATTAAAAGGATCATACACCATGATCAAGTGGGATTTATCCCAGGGATGCAAGTATTCTTCAATATACGTAAATCAATCAGTGTGATACACCATATTAACAAATTGAAGAATAAAAACCATGCTCTTCTCAATAGATGCAAAAAAAACTTTTGAGAAAATTCAACACCCATTTATGATAAAAACACTCCAGAAAGTGGGCATAGAGGGAACCTACTTCAACATAATAAGGCCATATTCCATAAACAACAAACCCACAGCAAACATCATTCTCAGTGGTGAAAAACTGAAAGCATTTCCTCTAAGATCAGGAACAAGACAAGGATGTCCACTGTTGCCACTATTACTCAACATAGTTTTGGAAGTCCTAGCCATGGCAATCAATCAGAGAAGAAAAAGAAAGAAAAGGAATCCAAATTGGAAAGGAAGAAGTAAAGCTGTCACTGTTTGCAGATGACATGATACTATACATAGAGAATCCTAAAGATGCTACCAGAAAACTAATAGAGCTAATCAATGAATTTGGTAAAGTAGCAGGATACAAAATTAATGCACCGAAATCTCTTGCATTCCTATACACTAGCAATGAAAGACCAGAAAGAGAAGTTAAGGAAACACTCCCAGTCACCACTGCAACAAAAAGAATAAAATACCTAGGAATAAACCTACCTAAGGAGGTAAAAGACCTGTACTCAGAAGACTATAAGACACTGATGAAAGAAAACAAAGATGACACAAACAGATGGAGAGATATACCATGTTCTTGGATTGGAAGAATCAATATTGTGAAAATGACTATACTACCCAAAGCAATCTACAGATTCAATGCAATCCCTATCAAATTACCAATGGCATTTTTTTTACAAAACCAGAAGAAAAAATCTTTAAATTTGTATGGAGACGCAAAACACCCCAAATAGCCAAAGCAATCTTGAGGGAAAAAAACGGAGCTGAAGAAATCAAACTCCCTAACTTCAGACTATACTACAAAACTACAGTAATCAAGACAGTATGGTAGTTTCACAAAAACAGAAATATTGACCAATGGAACAAGATAGAAAGCCCAGAGATAAACCCATGCACCTATTGTCAACTAACCTATGACAAAGGAGACAAGGATATACAATGGAGAAAAGACAGTCTCTTCAATAAGTGGTGCTGGGAAAACTG